AACCCAAATTATTATGTCAAAGATAATTATGGAATACTTTTTTAACCCAAATTATTATGTCAAAGATAATTATGGAATACTTTTTTAACCCAAATTATTATGTGGTATTTTTTAACAACAATTATTATTTCGAACTTTTAACCAGAATTATTACGTTATTTTTTGTTCGGTATTAATATCTGGTGCTTTTTTGTTCAATATTATTATATGATGCTTTTTGTTCTATATTATTATATGGTGCTTTTTTGATCGATATTATTATATGGGCCCGGCATGGCCAGGTGGTTAGGGCGCTCGACTTGCAATCTGTGGGTCGCGAGTTCGAATCCCCGTCACACCAAACATGCTCGCCCTTTCAGCCGTGGGGGACGTTATAATGTGACGGTCAATCCCACTATTCGTTGGTAAAAGAGTATCCCAAGAGTTGGCGGTGGGTGGTGATGACTAGCTGCCCTCCCTCTAGTCTTACACTGCTAAATTAGTGACGGCTAGCGCAGATATCCCTCGTGTAGCTTTGCGCGAAATCCATAACAAACAAACAAACAATTATTATATGATGCTTTTTTGTTCGATATTATTATATGATGCTTTTTTGTTCGATATTATTATATGATGCGTTTTGTTCGATATAATTATATGGTGTTTTTTGTTCGGTATAATTATATGGTGCTTTTTGTTCGATATTATTATATGATGCTTTTTGTTCGATATAATTATATGGTGCTTTTTTGTTCGGTATAATTATCTGGTACCTTTTTGTTCGGTGTTGTTATATGGTACTTTTATTTGATTTTATCATGTGCTATTTTTGTTCAGGATTACTATGTGGTACTTTTGTCGCCTTGTGAGCCGGATACTACTACCAAAATGATTTTACAAGTTCCAATGTGGGCTCAAAGAGTCATCTATATCCAAGGGTCTGCGCTGAAAGACGCAGACCTCACTCGAGTCAGGTGAGTTATTGACCTTTCTTTCTTTTAATTTGACACAGACTCACTCGAGTCAAGTGAGATATTGACCCTCCCCTCTTTTAATTTGACACAGACTTACTCGAGTTAGGTGAGATATTGACCATTCTTTCTTTCAATCTGACACAGACTTACTCGAGTCAGGTGAGATACTGACCATTCTTTCTTTCAATCTGACACAGACTTACTCGAGTCAGGTGAGATACTGACCCTTCTTTCTTTTAATTTGACACAGACTCACTCGAGTCAAGTGAGATATTGACCTTCTTTCAATCTGACACAGACTCACTCTAGTCAAGTGAGATATTGACCCTTCCTTCTTTTAATTTGACACAGACTAACTCGAGTCAGGTGAGATATTGACCCTTCCTTCTTTTAATTTGACACAGACTAACTCGAGTCAGGTAAGATATTGACCCTTCCTTCTTTTAATTTGACACAGACTCATTCAAGTCAGGTGAGACAGTGATCACTCCTTCTTTGCTTTAAACAAAGATTGTTGTTTTAGTAACAAAAGAGGAAGAAACCCCTTTGGCTTGTGGCCCCTCTTTACAACAGTTTTCCATCCACAAAGTATTGTTGTACGAAAACATTTTAAGAAACAAAATATAGTGAGTAATCAATAGTAAAAAGTTAACACTTTGTAAATATTTGCAAGAAATATACTTTATTAAGTAATTATCTATTGTGACCACGTTCAATAAAGACAGACCGACGCTAATATTTATCATCAATTGTAAAGAAATGCACTTTGTTTAGGCTTTTATAGTGAAAACTTTCATGTAATATCTCTATATTTTGATTTCGAATAAACGACTGTTCCACTGTCAGTTTGGTTTAGTTGTGGTTTCATTTCCCTGAGTAGCAAACGCTTTTTAATACAGAGTTGTTCTTCATTAATTACAGGTGAAATATTCGCTTGTTATATTCTCGCCACGTTCCTTCAGTGCATAGGACGTGACGATGTAAATATTTTATTTTCTCGAATCTGCAAGTTCCTTAACGCGATATAACAGGCGTCTGATCATTAAGTCAATATAGATACCCTGGTGCGCAGAGAGCTGGTACTTGTGTGCCTATTATATTACAGTCTAACATCTTCTCAAGTTCTTCCATAAACCATTTTTGTAGGACGATTTTAAGGAACTCTTCCAACAGAGATAGTAAACATCGTTTTATGTTTTCAACCTCACGTGCACGCGACTACAGTAACACTTCAATCAAGTTTCATTTTTTAATTTATTGAGGTTAAATTGTGAAAATGTATAATGTCCTCAAATATTAAATATAAGCAACTATTTAAAGTTTTGGTTACCGGAATATTTATGAACAATGTATGTTTATGTAAATTTGTTACATCTACATAATTATCAACAATAATTGCCTTGAATCTATCAGCGAACTCAAAGCTGTCCTTTAATGTCACCATCATAACGACAAAAATAACGAACAACTGTATTATAGTTAGTCAGGAAAATTGCTGTAGGTCGATTTGACCCCGCCTTGTTACTATTGTACTATAATTGCACTTCGCTTGACCCTTAACTTTATTAAGGTCATACTTATTAGTTCAGAAATTGACCCATATTAATGGTAAACATAACAAATTGCTGTATATTATTATAGATTTAGAACTAGATTTAGTTTCTTACTGGCAGCTTATTACTTTCTTCCTTCGCCTCTCTCGGTTTATTCGTTCTCTCTCGCATCTTCCAGTCCTTTTATTTTCGTTTTTTGAACTCCTGTCGTAAATATTCCTTTCTCAAAAACCACACCTAACACGTTTCCCTTATATTGGATTACATCTCATAATCATAATGGGTTCCGTAATCTTCACAGCTGCTGAACGAGAAAGGCGGTCGCTTCCTCCAATCATTTTCTACGGACTTAGAGCGCTGTAATCCTCTAATCCCTCAGGGACTGACCAAAAGCTTTCTCGCCACTCTCAACACTAACCTATGTTCCTTACATCTAACTTCTTAACAATATTAAGTCAGAACAGAATCAAGCAGACGGTGGAACAAGTCTTTCTTGTACTCAAACATCTCTGTTGTCTTTTCATAATCTTCGGGCTAAACATGACATTTTATCAGACCCTACTTGTGCCTGATGGTTGATACAATTTTTATTTCTACTGTAGGATGAATGCTGCAGAAGCTTGCTTCATCCTCACTGGAAGAAATTACGCCGATCGAAGTGCAGCGGTACGTCTACATTTTACTTTCTGTTGACAGATGTAACACATTTGTAAGACATCCTCTAAGATAAATTAACATCCTCAAACTGTTACAGCTAATGTAGTCTGTCCGATCTGTTAGCACTACTTCTTTAAATAAGGATAGGTAGAGAGCATGTGAACTGGATTTGATTAAATCGTGTTTCTCTGCCATTTCAACGTTTATGTCAAACTTAAATCTAAGATAGTTTTACTTTACAAAAATATTTGGCTTTCATATAGATAGATATTTGTAAGTTTTTTTTTTATCCACGTATGTCATCAGTAACTTTCAGACTTAATTTATTAATTTATTATGACG